TTTTGTCATATAATATTAAAAAAAGTTTGACTAAAGTTTCTGCAAAAATGATAATGAGATAAAATTATTTTTAATTGCTACGGAAAAATGCAATATCTGACTGATCATCATCAATATTTGATACAGCATCTTGAAGTGACTCGTTTATTTGAAAGCATTATGAGATTTTGTTTTTTTTTTTCTTGTCTCAGTTCACACTCTCTACCGGTAAGTGGCGGTAATACGCTCCTAGCCAACCGCCAATAAATACTGCATGAGGGATCAGTAGAAGAAGAACGCGGACGTATTTGATTGGGTAGTCGCTGTTGCTATGACATCGCTTTAAGAGACGCCTCAGAGTGAAGCATTGTGGCCAACATACAGCGAATTTATGAATATGATGGTATAAAGAAGACTAAAGCGAACGAATTTCATCAACATGAAGGTCGGTACTGGAAAATAAGCCTTTTTCTTGTGTGTGTGTTTATTTATTTATTTATTTATTTTGTTTCGTGTTGTGTTAAAAACAGTAGCTAGCTACTCAGGCAGCTTCAAGCTATTTTGTTAGCTCAAGGAACCGTTTATTTCCGTTAAAAGTTAAAAAAACAATCCTCTGAACCACTCGATTGTTTTTAAAAACTTTAACGGAATGATTACGACCTGGATGACTGAGAATCTTCACCAGCAAGGAACCGTTTCGTTTCTGCTCAAAAAAGGCTTATAAGGCTGAGATGACCTGCATATTCTCAGACTGAAGAAGTTTCTCCATCCATCCATCCATCCATCCATCCATCCATCCATCCATCCATCCATCCATCCATCCACCCATCCATCCATCCATCCCCTTATTGTTGTTGGTCACTGAAAAATTAGCTGTTTTTGCTCTATAGATTAAATGTAGCAAAACTGAAAACGATCTTATCATTTTCTGTCTTTAAACACATTAACCAGCACAATGTATTTTCATGCATTTTAAATTTGAGGAATATTTGACCTCAGCTGAACTGCATAGCAGATTCTTTCTTTTGAGGATTTATAATTAACAGAAAATATATATA